CCCTACGAGGCAGAGGTCAGACATGCCTCCACCCTCCAATCTTCCTTCCCAATTCTGACAGCAGCCACCCCTTCCATAGTACCCTCCACTTCTCTCCTGGGTTCCACCGTGCACTGCAGTGGTCACACACAACTCCCAGGCAATACTCACAATCGTGGGATTTATTAGGGTTGGTCTGGAATGCGTCTTCTCAGCCATACCCACAGGCACTCCTCTCTCTCTGGCCTTTGCATTTCAGCCATGTGGCCCCTTGGCCTCTGCCCAGCTCAGACAAGTGTTAGAAAGCTTTTGTAGGACTGCTGATAGGGCACTCTACTTTGCCACAAGTGTTAACCGAAGACCTCAGCTCTAGCTTCATGGGTCAGCCCTAAGTTTCCAAACTTGGCTGATCGTTAGAGTCACCTGAGGATTTGATGAAACTACAGATCCCTGGCCTCTATTTGCAACCTGATGAAGAAGCATCTCTAGGGGAAGGAGCCCAGGATCCTCAGGTGATTCCAATGACCAACTAAATTTGGGACCCTGGGAGTCAGCACACCTAACTTCCCCAATTAAGTGTCTGGAGGCACCCCACTCCACAGGTGAGCCTCCCGCCCAAAGGCACTCAGTGTTACTTGCTTGGTGGACCAGGAGCCCACCACTGTGTCCTGTGCTTTTCCTCTGCCGTTGCCACTCCTGGTGCTACAGCTGTCTCATGGATCCAGGAGGTCCAGTATTCCGGGATCTCAGGGTCCAAAAGATGTGCTCTTCTTTCTTGATGGTAGTGAGAAGCCCTCCATCTAGCCTCTGAGATGGCTTGTTTTGTCCAAATTTTCACCACCACAACCAACCCTGTTAACAGTTGTTCACAACTGAATCATATAATCCTATCACTATCTTCACCCACCTTCTCCTACCCAGACCGTCTGGGGAAGAGGAAATCTACCCACTCGACATAGTCCCACCCAGTTGTTTGGTGGGAGTTACCAAGAGTCTGGCCAGAAGAGAGGCAGTAATTCACTGCACTGCAGATGTTCAACATGAATTTGGAGGTGAAGGCGTTGCATGTAACCACCTGCCTCTTGCACCATCCAGTTCTCTTGGAGAGCCAGTGTTTTAAGTAGCTAAAATGTGAATTTACTGCGGGGAAAGTGGAGCTTGTCACTTAGGTAAATAAACACCTTTTCCTGAGCTTACTGCATACAAATTCAGCATATAATTTAAACCCCAACTCAATCACCTAAAAACCAGACACCTTGACAGGTAGACCAACCCAGTTTTTTTAGGGTGTGCATTGGATGAGGTGCATCGCAGGTGCATGTGTACCTGCCTTGGAGATGAGAATAGAACCAGAGCTCTGAAGCAGGGCTTTTTAAACTTCTTCCCCCCGGGGCCCCTTTGCATCTGATAAAGTGGCAACCGGGGCCAGCCCCGCCGGAACCACCTGGGATTCATGATTTTGCATTCAGACACCTGGCGCTGTTGCCACATTCTTCAGGCCCCCACCTTTAGTAATGCTGTTTAAGCAGCTTTTCTCTGAGGCAAGTCATTTTCCGTTTAAATTTAGAGGGTGGCGTGGGCGTGCACCCACAAACACGTACCTTTGTTGTCGTCGGTGGCCTTCCCGTCGGCCCTGACTCCTGGCGAAGGACGCCCTATGTGCAGAGACTGCTCCAGAGGGCCTTCGAGATGGTGGCCTTTAACAAGCAGGTGGCCAGGCTTCACTTGTGAGGCACCTGAAGTGGGTGTGCCCTGCCAACCTCTTGGTTAGCACTTACCTATGTGCACCACCCAGGGACGCCTCCTGTACATCTAAAGAGAGAAGGGTATTGATAGTAATCTCAAGTAAGCTTTGACTCCCCGAACACCACTTGCATCCTCTCCCTTCAACAGTGGTTTCAAACAATGACTAATGCATCCACAGCAGGATTTGTTAAAAATTCCCACTCCTGGGCCCCATGCCCGTCTTTCCATAGTCAGCATGTCTGGCAGGGGCTCAGGAATCTGCCATCTGCCAGGGGAGTCTTCCACTGCCCCCCGAAAGACGCTAGTTGATTGGCTTAACTGTGTGAGGCTTGTTTGTTTTTTCTGGTTAGAGGTTATCTGGTTAGGAGGCAGCCGTTTTCACCCCTCCCTCCTTCTCCCCTCGAACGCCCCAGGAACTAGCTGAGCTGCTGGAGGAGGACAAGCTGAGTGGCGTGCCAGTGCTCATCTTTGCGAATAAGCAGGATTTGCTCACGGCAGCCCCAGCCTCAGAAATTGCTGAAGGACTGAACCTGCACACCATCCGGGACCGAGTCTGGCAGATCCAGTCCTGCTCAGCTCTCACAGGAGAGGGCGTGCAGGTGAGCTCGCTCGCTGGGAGGCTCCATCGCCTAGCAACAGCGCAACCACCCATGGTGGTCATTCTGATTGGCTGGGCTCATCGAGCTTGAAAAAAAGATCTGAAGCAAATAGCCTTTGATTGGCAGATACACCATCCCAGGATGTGGAGGGCAGAGGTTCATTTCTATTTTACAATCAACCTGATCTCTTTTCCCTGTAGGGCAGGAGGTCAGAACAGGAGACCTGGAAGGCCCATTCTTCAATGGTTGGGTTGGGGCTTTGTGCTGTGCCTAAAAGTATGGCTACCCGCACTCAGAGTCATTACACCCACTTGTTACCCTAGCCCCGGGTTGGGGGTGGTGGGGGTGTGTGTG